TTTTCTTTTTTTTTTCAAAATTCAAGAGGTTAATTATTCTCTTTAGGAATTATTACCATAGATGAAGAAACACATATATAGTTCGACTTTGTTATGGTTTTGTTTAATATTATTAAAAAATATGATGGATAATTGAAAAAAGTTCAAGGGGTTAATTAACTAATCATAGAGATTTAGATGCATAGAGATTTTACATTGATTGGTGTAAACTATACCATATGATGTCTATTTTTCTTGCAAATTTTACCAATTCTTTTGTTAGATTTTTTACTAGGCCTCTACATTCATTATGTTGCCTTTGTAATATACAGAAGATTTGAATATGTAGTTTTTTCTTGTGAGTCTGTGAATTAAAATTAAAATAATTCAACTATTTTGACACGTTACTTGATGCAAGGTAGACTCTTAGTGTTGTCATGATTTTCTTTATTTAAGCTTGTCAAAAATATGGGTATGAGATTAGATAAGTTTATATCATGTTTAGTTTGTGATTTTGAATTTGTGTCTTTGATATTCAATTATTTTAAATATTTTGAGGAAGAAATTATCACTAATAGTGGTGGCTCTTGTGTGTTTTTTACCAAAATAAAATCATGATTAGATAGGAAACTTGTAAGGGTTAGTTGGAAGGAGCCTTAATGAGTTAAAATTTATCAAATTTATATGATATGGAAATTTTTGTTTGTAATGAAATTGATAAATGATAGGCCAAAATCTGTTGAATTTGCTATGGGATATAGCTAGAGGTCATTGAAGGTTTATATTCTTGAGTCCAAATGAAATGCTCATAGTTCCTTAGGGGTCATTTGATAAAGGAGAAATTTTTTCATACCTAGGAATCATGATTTTTGGGAATTACAAATCTTAAAAATCATGATTCTTGGAAATAATTAAAATATATTTGGTTACTATAAATGTTCTTGGGAATATTTATATAAGATTATAAGGAATTAAGGATTTGCATGTTTAGTTACACTACTATCAGCAGGTGGCTTGGAGAGGCAGGCACAACAGTACTCAACATCAGCAGGTTGAAGAACTGGATCTCCACCTCACTATCACAAGAGAAACAATGAAGCTTCTACTCGAAGACTGAAGATCAGGTGTACAGTTTGTCTACCTTAATACCCAATAGAGTACGCAATCAATGCTCAACTACTCTAAAGGGTGAGGATACAAGCAAATACATTTGTCCAAGGGAACGTAGAAGCATCAACACAGAGACGAGAAGAAGACCCGGACGAAATGTCTATGTCTTTACTTTCCTTTGGAAAAGCAACACAGCTATTCCAAAGGACAAGTAAAGAGGGGCAGTTGTAGACACTCAATTTCGTCCGGGGGGGCATACAAACAAGATAGGACATTAGAGGGCCCAAAAACCCAAATTAACTTTTTTTAGTGGCCCGGAACGGGCCGTTCCCAAGTTCGGAATGGACTGTTCTCGAATTGGAACGGGCCGTTCCAAGGCTTCTCAATGGCCTAAAAATTGTTAGCTGGAACGGGCCGTTCTAGACCAGAACAGGTCGTTCCAAACTAAACAAATGGCCTAAAATCTATACCCCGGAACGGGCCGTTCTGAAATCAGAACGGGCCGTTCTGGCTCACCGGAACGGGCCGTTCTGATTTCAAAACGGGCCGTTCTAGGGTACAAATATACAGCATAACGTTCGGATCCGGAACGGGCCGTTCCGAATCCAGAACGGGCCGTTCCGAATCCAGAACGGGTCGTTCCGGCCCACATCTGATGCTTATAAATAGAAAATCTCGGCCAACAGTTCAGGGACCTCCAAAATTTCGTCTAAAGCTCCTTAGAGCTCGAAATTTCTCTTTCTCTTTCTTATTGTATTTCTTGAGTTTTGTGAGGCTAATTGTAGTGCGAAAGGTTGCCACAAAGCACCTAAAGTCTCATTATTTTGAAGATCCAATAGAGCTCATTCAAGAGGTATTTCAGTTAATTTCTTTCTCTTTATTTTTATTTCTTATCTATAATAATTATCATTATAATAAAAATAATCATGTGGACATTTTAGGGTTAACTGTATTATTTAAATTTCAAGTATGTAAATAATTATTAATAAAGGGGATCTAATATTTAATTTATTATTTCTTATCACGTTAACTTCATCATAGGGTACCGATTGAGGGCGCTGTAGGGGTGAGGGGTGCTTAATACCTTCCTTACACGTAACCGACCCCTGAACTCAATTCTGGTTATCAAGACCATTATTGGATCTTTAAAAACATTTTCTTTTTCCAATGTTTTGAGTAAAATATTGGTGGCGACTCCATGAACCTATTTTCAAAACCATTAATTAAGGATTAGTCTGGTGTCCAGGCATTCCTTAATTAATGAGACTTTTAAAAGGATGTCTAAACCATAGGTCGCAAGATCGGAAATTTTCGGGTTGCGACAATAAGGAGAAATTCCTTAAAAAAATATCTTAAGGAGAGATCCAAGGAAGGAAACTAATACTTTAATAAGAGAAATCTTTAATAGTTTATGCTCACAAATCTCAAAGTAATTCAATCATGTACAAGAAAAAAATTTATAAAGAGTTTGATTGGCTTGTGGTACAAGCTAGACAAACCTTGGTTTAGTGTGACCAATGTTAGTTAACTTATATTCAAGCTAATCAATTCTAGTTACATGGTTAAATTAACTTAACTCCAAATACCAAATCTAATCATTACACCTAATAAACTAATGAGTATTAACCTATAAGTTATTGAGATATCATTATCAGAAGCCATGTGACAAGTTGGCCACTTGGATGACCTAGGCTACATGGTTTTGGACATTCAAAACCATTTGCTCAAGCAAGTGGACGTCTAAACCCATGTCTAAAATGAATCTTGGCGCATCCAAGCCCAATAATATTAATATGACTTTATTTAGTTGCATCTCTCTTAATCTATTAATTACACTCTCAAAATAAAATCAATACAAGAACAAAAATCCCTACACTACTTGGCCAAAATTAAAGGTAAAGAAAAAACAAAGAGGAGATATTTACAAGAAAAATATATACAAAGAAGATAAATTAACCTACTAAGATAACCCAAAGCTCAATAAAAGCTTGGACTTTCTTCCTTCAAGTTCAGCCTACTCCTTTTGATCCCTTTAAAACTTGAACCCCGACATGATGTCATCAACAAATTCCTAGCTTTCATTCTCCTTGACGCATTATTGTGTCAGTATTACATGGATATAATCCTATACTCATATGGACATATCTGAATGCTATCATTCAACAAAAAAAATCCTTTTAATTTGATGTTTCTATATTGGAGGTGGAGGTGGTGTTATGGTGTTAGGTGAGGGAACTGTAGGAGGAGTACCGTATTAGGGGGAGAGGGAAAAGTGAAATTTAGACGTCAGGTGAATCTAAAAATTCAGATTAATTATAATAATGATTTTTTATTATCGAATAATTTGATTTGTGTTAACCGTTGGATATAAATGGAGGCTAGGGATTGTCGCTGGAGAGGCAGGAGAGGATCCGAATCCATCAAAACCACCTTAGTGTATGTCGCCACCGGCCCGAAACGGGCTTTCGGCATT